AGAATGCTTTGCATGTGGTTATTTTATATGCACATACATTAACAACTGTATTAATAGAATAATGTATTGAGATGCTTTCCATTGATGCTTTTTGTATGTTATTGCAGATGGTCCATTCCTCATAACATGCGGCATTGCAGCAGGTCTCTTTCTTTCTGTTGATCCAGAAACTCATGCTGTTAAAGCTACCAGTGAAGTAGCTAAAGCCACACACTTCCAGATCATCCCCAGTGATGATAAATACAATGAGTTCTATATTGCATACCATGAGGAGAAAGCTCGAGTCCTCAGAAGACGTCGCTACTCAGTTTTAGCTGGTGATGACCCTGGATCAACAGCTGCTTTGTATTTGGATGCTCCTGTTAGTGTGAGGGGACGAAACAATGGTCCACTTTACATGTCAGACACAGTCAGTGATGAATCCAGTAGATTTGTACTACACAGTCGTATAATACATAATAAAGTATCACCAGTTTCCATCAGCACTTGGACCAATGGGACTGAGATGTTCTACCTCAACTGCTCTCGAAGGAAGCGCAGAATAGATGGCTACCTTGCGATTAAGCGTGTGAGACAAAGAGGGAATGATCAGGAACAATTCATAACAGCTTGTATGAGCAGCAGAAAGTTTCATAACAATACAAGTGTGTTCATGCTTTTCCAGCTAATACCGAGCTACCTTGTTAAAGATGAAACAGAAGAAAATGAAGAAGCCAAAGAAGGAGAAGATAAAGAGAAGTCTCCAACAGTGAAACTTGAGGTTGAAGCACAAGACACTAAAGTCTAAACTGAAAATTTTCATACAATTATTTGTTAATTTCTCTTACTGTGATGTTGCTACTAATTTTTGTTGTTGAGTACAATAGTTACAACATTTGTATTGACTCAGTTAGCAGTAAATTTACTAAGAGCATTATTATGTTTAAATCTACTGTTTTAAGTCACTTAACAGTTGATAGTTGCAGTCAGTGAGGACAGGAGTTAAATCAACCCCAACTGTTTGTCTTCCCCTTGCATTGGATGCACACAAAAACAACTGAGTTATAAGTGGCACACCTTTACAAACTAGACTGCATATACAAAAGGAGATTTTCTAATGCCTACTGGTGTTTTCAATAAAATACATTTATAAATCAAACTAATAAATAATTTCCGTCTTAATATCCATATCATAAGGAGCTGTAATGCATACGGTACAACTCCTAGCCTATTTACTCTCCCATGCATAGCAGGAGTTCTTGTGTTTAATTTATTGATTATAGTTAGAGTATAATTTTCATGCTATGTAAACAGATTGTCAAACAACAAAAGAGACAAATAAGCCACTCGTGTTATCATCAATCTCACATCATTACACATGTGCATGTACAAACGTAAACACATCTGACTCACACACCCACTCTCATTAACTGCATTACACCCACACTCCATTTATCACACATGTCATGATGAGTGTGGCTTCACTAATTAATTTAAGTCAAGTCAAATCTCAGGTTAATGTCACTGGAACAACCAACACTTGATGTGCCTTTGTTTAGCCTAATATGGATCTGGGCACCTTCTTTAATATTTTTTGTTCTTCTTGACGCGTTGCTTCTACATTTTCTGGTTCCTGGCCTTTTAAAATACTTTAAATTATCAGAAAATGATCAAAAGAAAAGACTATGCCTGCCTGGACACACAAAGGCCTTATTGACTGAAAGGTAAAATAAAACTAGATCTACACATATATATTTGTTTTTTTAATTATTTTTGATAAGGCTGGCTGGAACTCTCACTGCAATTGCTATTAGCTGCATCGGAATATTAATTTTAAGTGAAACTTACGAAGATGTCATATATGCAAAGTAATACTGGTAGTATTCTTAGTTCTATACAAATGGTATTGAGCCAAATTATTGGCTAACTCTTTGCGTTCTTTTTTTGTTTTGTAATTATATTTTAACTGATTCTAATCAAAATATGAATTTTTAAAGTTGCTCCAAAATTGTGCCAAAGTCCCTGTACTATAGTACAGGGATTTTAGCCAAATTTTGCCAAAAATGGAAAGGAGACAATTCTTCATTTTTAATAATTTTACCTGATGCATATACATGAACTTATGTTGTGGAAAAAGTTTGAACTGATTCTGATCAAAATTGGATTTTTTATGAATTTTTAAATTTGCTCCAAAATCGGGTTAAAGTCCCTGTACTATAGTACATGGATTTTGGCCAAATTTTGCTAAAATGAAAAGGAGAAAATCTTCATTTGTATAATTTTATTTGATGTGTATAATATTTCCAGTCAAGTTTGGATTTTTTGTTGATTTAAAAGTTGTTAATAGAAAAAAATAATTATTATATTATTATGAATTTTAGGTCATCTCTTTTATTACCGTCTGCATATATATTCACCTGTAATTTTGTCTACGATTTTTATCGTATGTATAGAAGGTTTTCACTCAGTAAATCTGAGTATGCAAGCCTCTCAAGAACTTTGGTCCTATTAAAAATGATCCGGAATCAACTCAGTTTTGTTATTCACCACCTCCTGCTAATCTGTGGCTTAGTCATAGCTGTAAGTCAATATTAATATAATATTATTATATTGATAAAAATATATTTAAATTAATGTTAAAATACTATTAAATATTGGTTTATGTACATTATAAAATATAGCCTCTCTTAAGTAATGAACACTTTTAATAGCAGACACCTTCATTTAAGAGAGCATTAGTTTATCAATTAATATATAAAATAATCCCCACATAAGAGACACAATGTTATTGTACCAAAGTGTCCATTATTTATAGAGGCTCCACTATAGCAGCATGCATTTAACTTAAGATTTTAATCACTATCATTCTATTTTTATTTAGCATCATTCATTTCGTGGTGGTAGGGGAGATTTTATAATTGGGTGCTATTTTATCATGGAGCTTACCAATCCTTTCCTAAACTTTTATTTCATTCTCAAAGAAGTAAGTGAGCCACAACATACTAGTAGTACATAATTACTATTTTTAAATTATAGTAATTATGAATGCTATTGTATTATTTTTAATATAAAAATAATTATTATTTATTTATTATTTTTAATATAAAAACAATTATTATTTTTAATATAACAACAATTATTATTTATTTATTATTTTTAATATAGTTTCAAATGAAAGATACATTAGTGTTTCGTGTGAATGGAGTTCTTGCAATATTGGTTTACGTATTTTCAAGGATTTTAAACTATCCATTTCAATACTACATGTATGCTCACCAGTATCATAATGGAGATTATGTCTCTGCTGTAAAGGGAATGCTGCTTGTCTGCCATGTTTTCAGTGGAGTTGGTTTAATCCTTCAAATCTACTGGTTGTATGGGATGATCAGAATATTTGTAGCTAGAGCCAAATATGCATTTATGATTAATAAAAATAAATGAAATATTTTTATTGCATTCTAATGTATTAATCTTAAAAAATAATTTTCAATTATTTTTTTGGTAATCATAAAGGCCACGCCCATATTCATCTAACGCCCACGTATATCAGCCACTCCTTTTTGCAAAAAAAGATACGACAGCAACAAAATGGGACGATTGTCTACTGCCACTCTCTTCTTTCTCTTAGCTCTTTCTTCAGTTCAAGGTATAGGAATTGACGGTGGAACCAAATGTGCTGGCTGTGTGGTTATAGTCGCTCTAGTCGAGCAGTTGTCCTTCATATACAACGAGACTGTCGCGGACTCGCTGGCTCGTTTTTGCAGTTACCTACCGCCTGAAATCGACATTGCTTGCCAATTCGTAATAAAGACCTATGGCCCAAGCATCATTGATCTACTAGAGGACAACGAGACACCAGACACGGTTTGCTATGGCATAGAATTTTGCAAGAAATACGACAAGAGCAAGAAAATGTGTCACCTTTTCCCTCTTCCCCCTTCTCACTTCAAAGATGAAACAGAAAGAGTGACTCGTTTAGTCACAAAAGCTAAGGGAAAATCGTCATCTCCGTTTCCAAAAGAGATTTGCTCAATTAGTGCATTTAAGAAACTTTGTCAACTTTTCAATAACTTTACTGATTATCACACTCCACTCTTCGACGAAGATGGAGACAGCTTCTCAATTGAAAACACATTTCGTGGTGCCGATTGGAGAGGAAAAGACTGCAATGACTTAAACCCAAAGATATATCCAGGCCGTTTGACATCAAGTGATGCAGTGGTTGATAGTAACTGCAATGGTATAGTAGGAATAGATCCGGCCAGCAATAAGTCGTACGAAGAGCTATGGTGCAACGGTACAATGGCTATGGGTACTATCCTTCTTGGAGATAGTGCAGGGGCCCATTTTCATATTCCTCCCTCCTGGCTGACAGCAAAAGAGCTAAATACTGATACGTACTCTGATCTCCTAACGATACTTGAGAATGAGCTGGACTGGCCAATGCTCTCATTTGTGACTGGATTCCAGACGACAGAGAAATGGAAGAAAGATATACAAGGCCCTGTCGATTCAACATACTTGAAAATGAGGACACTAAATCGCTGCAATCATCGAGACTATCAAAACATTGGAGTCAATGGAGCTCGCTCCTCTTCAATGAAAGAACTAGTAAAATTCCTTGCAAGGCACCGGCTACTTGATAAACCAGTTATGGCAACGATTGAGCTATTGGGAAACGATGTATGCAGTGGGCACGAGGACACCAGTCACATGACGACGCCAGAAGAGTACTACAATAACATGCACTATGTGTTCGAGTACCTTGATAGCGCCCTGCCCGTTGGCTCTGTAGTATTTGCTACTGGATTAGTTGATGGACGCATTCTGTATGACACTCTACACAGTAATATACACCCAATAGGGAGTACTAGGGGTGACGTTACTTATTCTGATTTTTATGACTACCTAAATTGTCTGGAGATATCGCCTTGCTTCGGTTGGATGAACAGCAATGAAACATGGCGTAACTTGACAAGCGATAGAGCACTGGAGCTGACTCAGACGATGGAGAAGCTCATTAAAGAGACAAAGTATCAAAACATCACTGTTCTTTATATGCCGGTCCCACTGCATCAAGTTTTTGATACATGGAAAGGGGACAAAGCTGATTTGATTGAGCCAGTGGACGGCTTTCATCCAAGTCAAATTACAAATGCTCTCGTTGCTAATGTCACATGGCAATATATCAGGGATACTTATCCTGACATTGTTCCTCCAGAAAACCCCTACAATGAACTCATCCAGAAAAAGTTTGGTGATCAAGGAGGCTACTAAAATACCGCTTGACAGTTCAACTCAAAAATTTAACATTTAATTTTGCTTTTGTATAAATTTCACTAATTATTGATAATATACAAATTTCATTTTAACTGCTGGTTTCTGATAATTGTTTTATAAAAAGTTTCCTCTCGATGGGCTATAGTTCCATTTCATCATCTTCTGTTATGATAGCAGATGTCTTTATCCTATACACAACACAAAATTGAAACTAAAACATGGCAATATATGTATACAAGTATAAATAGCTTACCTTTCTTCGTAAACATCACTACTATTATTCTCCTCCGTATCAGATGATTGACTGTTGTGCCTTTTCCAAACATGGTGTCTGATATGATCTGGTTCTTTATATAGTACAAGTGCTGTGCATGGTCTGTTACTAAGGAGAGAGAGAGGGGGAGGGAGAGAGAGGGAGAAAAAGAGAGAGAGAAAGAGAGAGGAAGAGAGAAATAATAGTGCAATTAATTACTTAATAATTTGTGCACTAGGACAAAAGGCTTACATTTCATTGACTACTACTGGAGGCAGTAAATTCATTGACTGGTTTGATGAGTTCTTTAAAATTGATTTAACTTCGGGGGCAATCCATAACTGAGGGGGTGTGGTACTACTAGAAAAATTAAGAAAACAATGAAATGTTATTACATTCCCTGATATGTAAACATGTTCTTATACAATGCTTCAATTGAACTGATTCCAATCAAAATTGGATGATTTACAAAATTACTCCAAAATTAGACCAAAGTCCCTGTACTATAGCACAGGGACTTTGGTTAAATTTCACCAAAATTTAAAAGGAGTAAATTCTTCATTTTTATAATTTTATCTGATGTGTACACATGTACTTATGTTGTATAGAAAGTTTGAACTGATTCCGATCAAAATTGGATTTTTTACGAACTTTTCAAGTTGCTCCAAAATCAGGCCAAAGTCCCTGTACTATAATAACTCAGGCCAAATTTCACCAAAATTGAAAAGGAGAGAATTCTCAATTTTTATATCTTTTTCTGATGTATATATATATGTACTTATGTTGTATAGAAAGTTTGAACTGATTCCGATCAAAATTGAATTTTTTTACAAATTTTTTAAATTGCTAAAAAATAAGGCCAAAGTCCCAATACATTGTATTTTGTGACAAAAATGGCTAGGAGAGAATTCTCAATTTTTATTACAATTTCAAATACACATACACTCTTATAAAACATACTTGTCAGAACTGTCACTACCATTTTCCTCGTCGAAAAGGCTAACATCATCAGTGGGTGTGGCCTCAAACTCATAGTCTAGGGGCGTGGCCATATCTTGAGTGGCTACGTTGTTCCCCTCGCTGTTAAGTGATATAAAGAGATTAGATTGGTTGAATAATTCAAGTTGGGTCACATGATTGTTTTCACACGATACATAATTCCAGTCATTAGCAAAACAATATTCATTTGAGGGTGCTTGGTTTAAAAATTCATCAGCCGCATAAGTGGGCATGGAATAAGGAGGAGTGGCCAATTGTAAATGCTCTAGACGGCTTGCCATTTGTTCTTCACTGAGAAATCTCTTCCTAAAAATAATTTTTAAAAATGTAAATAAATGCGTACATTAAACATTAAAACCGGCACTACAAAAACTATTCATATATTTAATTATATTTATTCATTAAATGGATCAAAGTTTCTTTATATTTTATTTCTCACAACTTACACGTGACAGTAACCATCGTCTTCATCTTCACTGATCTCTTCATTTCTCTGTCTCTTACACAATACTGGCGGCCTCTGCATTAAAAACATGAATATTGATTTAACAAACAAAGCAATCTCGCCACAAAAAAGAAATTGCTTCACAAAATAAGATATTATATACCTCCACTGAAGCTGCAAGGCAAGAGCGATCCTCCTTTATATAATGCCTGTTAGGCGTGGCCATCTTCGAAGAGGCCATAAAAAGAAAAGAAAGCTCAAGAACTTACAAGAAACTCAAAACATAACGTTGAAGAATGTCGAGAAAAATCCAGAATGTCGTCTCCATTGAGACACGCCTACAATGCTCCACCCTAGTCACCCTACTCCCACGCATTTTGAAAGATGTCTTCAGGGTGGAGCTCAATCTTTCTCTGCAGCTTTGTATTCTTAACTGTGTCAGCCACCACTCAAATTCAAGTCTTGCATGTGTTGGAAGGAGAGCCGTTTAGCATATCTTGTAATTTTCCTCTTCCAGGCTTCTGGACAGTGTCCCCGCTGTTAGTAGACACTGAAGGAGAGGGAGAATGTACAGAGCCACAAATTCAAACCATGTTATTCACATGCTCTGTTTATTCTGCAAAACTACAAAACAATGGGACTTATAAAGTGCAAAGGTTTGATAATCAGTTCCAAACTGTGTGCATTTTTGACATTGTTGTGATCAGCATTCATCAAGGTACACTACTAGACTAATATTTAATTCCCATACATGGTGCATCATTAGCTCAATCATATGCATTAGTGACCTATGACTATGAATAATTATTGTTTATCAATATAGAGTCCAGTACTGCCCTGATGACATCACACTACATATCTTCCTCATTCTCCTCTTCTTCTTTCGCCATCACTTCAAAAACAACTATGCTTATGCCATTGTCTACCAGCAATCAATTAACTAGCAACCTTGGAACAGTCTCCTTGCACACATCACCATTAGTTACAGAAACACCTACTGATAGTCAATTGCAAGGAACACCAATTGCTGCCATTATAGTACCAGTGATAGCAGTAGGTTTGCTGCTATCTGTTTCATTCATTGTTTTGTCTGCTGTACTACTGCTCGTGATGAGATTTAAAAGGAAAAAAGAACCCAAAAGTGAAGAGGATAACACTGGGTTTCTTCTTGGAAAAAGGCGCTCTGATCTGTCTGAAAAAGGTTACAATTTATAAATATACTTTAGATTTCAATCTGCTCCTATTAGATACTAATTCCGATAAATCAAGTGAAATAATATCCTTCACATCGATAGTGTTTGAAGAGCTCATCGAGAAAGAAAAATTCAGTTTGGTTCATCATGCTAGCATTAAACAAAAGGAAGTTTTAGTTAAGCAACTAAAAGGTAAGGTAATATGGAAATTGTGCATTCATATTATGCATCTTTTCTATAGAAAAAAGTGCTGGTCATGAAGAATTGATGCATGAAATAAATCTTCTCAAGAAGCTGAATGAAAATGGACACCACCACATGAACATTGTGTCATTCATAGGTACAACTGAGTCTCCAGATCCACTCATTTTAGTCATGGAGCATCTGCCACACGGAACATTAAAGAGATTACTTGTATCACTTCTGAAAGGTCCTGTCCCTCACTGGTACTTTGAACACACACTCTCCAGTCAGAAAGGAGCTTACAACAATAAGCAAATATCTTCAGATCTCTTTGACATTTTAATTCAAGTTGCTAAAGGAGCAGTAAGTTTTCAAAAGAGAGATATAATCACTACCTTTGCTCTTTATCAATAGGAATATTTGTCTAATAATGGTTTAGTCCATGGTCATTTATCAACTGATAATGTCATTTTGGGTAGAAAACTCATCGCTAAGCTTGGAAACTTCACAATTCCACAATCAGGAGATTACTTTATAAAAACTGAGCGTGAGAACCACTTGTTTGACTTTGCTCCTGAAGTTATTAGCAATGGAGACCACACAATGAAAAGTGACATGTATGTACAAGTATTTGCAATCAGTAATATTATGTTCACATACATTGTTAATTATAGATGGTCTTTTGGGATTCTTACATACAAAGTGGCCACTTTTGGTAATTTAATGCAAACTTTGTCAATATGTTTAATTTTTATTCATTAACAGAAACTTTTCAACCATTTAGCAAGATTAAGCCAAATGAACTCCATTCTCAGTTAATGGAGGGAACTAGACCACCTCCACTGCCTTGCTTTAGCAATGATCTGTAAGAGAAATTTCACTAGCAAATGAATGATGCTATTATTATTATAGTTATTGTCAAATGCAGCAGTGCTGGAAGGCTAATAAAGAAGAGAGACCGGATTTCTCTCACGTACTGAGTGTCCTTGAAATACTATCCAAAAGCGACCCATGGACACATCTTGTGTTTGAAATATCAGAGAAAAGAAGAAGCTATGTTGACGAGAACCAACATATATTTCTTTTCCCAGCCCCCAATCAAGTTCCCAATACTAAAAAGAATACACTATTAAACAATGGAAGAAGAATATTTGCTAGCAGTCCTCAACTAATGGGAATGGAAGACATGTCTGGCTCAGAGCCAAGTAGTGAAAATCTTGATCAGAGAAGTGGTGGAGCCATAGGAAAAGGAGGAAAAGGGTCAAAGCTACTAGCAAGGAAGAAATCAACAACTGATGATGTGTCACAGCTTCTTGTTTCTCAGAAAAAGCAACCCAACTTTGATGAACTTGAGAGGGAGCTTTTAGCACAAGGAGGAGGAAAGATAGACCGCACAAACCCACTGATTAGTAATTGAATTGTAAATTTTCTACTATATTCATTTATTTAATTTGCTTCAATTTTATTTCCTTGTTCCTCGAGCTCCAGTTCTTCGAGCAGTTTCTTTGCATTCTTGTCATCTTCTGCAGCTAATGAATAAAGCTCCTTAGCTTTTGCTACATTCTTCTCGACTCCTAATCCTTGATAGTACATGTTGCCTAGATTTACCTAAAAACATGATTATTAATCATGGTTTGCATTAAATTTAGTGCATGACAGAAGGTTAAACTTAAATTTCCCTTTCCATTAGGTAGATAAAAGTTTATGGTTCCAATGGGCAGTCTTACTGAAGAAGGTAATCAGTACAGGAGTTATGGCATTACCTGTGCAGCTGTAAAGCCTCTATCAGCTGCCTTTTGAAAATACTCAACCGCTTTTTCAAAGCTATGTTCCACACCTTTTCCAGCAAAATAATGGACTGCAACATTGTAGATTCCTAAAACCAACTCTATTTTAAAGAAAAAATACATTTTTGGGGCTATAATAATTATGAGAGTACCAGCATCAGCAGCTGCCTTGTAGTGTTCAAATGATTTCTGGAAAGACACTTCAACTCCACTCCCTTTATTGTAACATTGTGCAAGTGATAAATGGGCAGCTGGATCTCCTAAGAGGAAAAAGAAAAAAAACACGACATCCTTTTCTCTCTTTCAATTTTTCTCTCATCCTCTAGGCTATCATACTAACCAAGTTTGGCAGCATTTTCATAACATTTCACGGCCTCTTCCTTATCTTCAGGTATACCTTGACCATTGAAATACATATCACCTAATGATTAGCATAATTACAACTATTTAATGGACCACACCCACCTAATGCACTATAGGCCTGTGGTATACCATTCTTAGCACTGACCTATCAATTAATAAATAAATAAATAAATAATTAATTAATAATTAATAAATAATTAATTAATTAATAACTTTATAGAGAGTGAATGCTTTGCTATGACTTTGCTCAATACCAAGTCCACTATAGTACATTACGCCTAATGAAAACTGATAAAAAATAAAATAAATAAAAATAAATAAACAATAATACTCACTTGAGCATACGGATGAGCCTTTAGTGCAAGATCAGTGAATATTTTTGCAGCTGTCACAGGGTCAGCCGTACAACCCTGTCCTAATTAATGCCCGCCAATAAAAAAGCAATATTTATAGGCCTACCAATTCTTAGAAGTTGTGCATATGTATAGGAAGCATCAGTGTTGTCAAGTTCGTGAGCTTTTTTAAATAATTCTGTGGCAGGAGCTAAATCTTCATTTGCTACAATAAATGGAGAGAGATTTTTTAGCAACTTAAAAAATTCTTTTAAAAATTTAAATTTAATTGGAATCAGTTCAAACTTTCTACACAACATAAGTACATGTATATGCATCAGAAAATATTATAAAAATGAAGAATTCTCTCCTTTTCAATTTTGGCAAAATTTGGCCCGAGACCATGTACTATAGTACAGGGATTTTTACTCAATTTTGGAGCAACTTTTAAAAATCATAAAAAATCTAAATTTGATCGGAATCAGTTCAAACTTTCTACACAACATAAGAACATGTATATGTATCAGAAAATATTATAAAAGTAAAGGATTCTCAACTTTTCAATTTTGGGAAAATTTGGCCTGAGACCATGTATATATATACTATAGTACAGGGACTTTGGCCCCATTTTGGAGCAAAAATCCAATTTTAATCGGAACTGAAGGAGAAAGACAATGAGATCATATAAAAAAGGTATTTTAAATTTATGACATACTTTGTCTCAGAGCTTCAAAAGTTGACGTTGCAAGTTTGTAAACGTCCTTTCCAGTTACTATAGCAACACAAAGTTATGACATCATTTGACATCATCATAATTATACTTACAATCGTCTGTGTTCTGGATCCTCCCACACAGAGCTGACGACAAAAGATTTATTTGTTTTTTCTCCAATTGACTGTCTTGATTTTTTAATTTGGATCTTACTGATGCTATTATACTGCTAGGATCTAAGCAAAAATTAAACAAATATAAATAAAAAATTTAACAAAATTACCAGTGCTAATGGCACGAGTGTAAGCTGGTAAATATCTGACAATACTCTTGCCATGAAAATAGGACAGTCTTGCCATTCTGTGTAAAGACATGATAATATCACAGATATTAGAGATTTAGAGTAAAAACCACGCCCAGCATACGGTGCAGTCACCACGTGTTTTCCGTATTTCTTTGCACACCTTATCCGTATTTTTAGGTGGGGCTCAGTCTGCAAGTGGCTAAGTGCAAAAAAGTGAAGAAATCTCGTTCAAAAATGCCCATCTTAATCAAAGACTTCAGTTGGAGCGAGACGGAGACTCACGTTACCCTAACAATTCCTCTGAGAGGCGTCAGACCCAACAAGGCAGACATATTTTCGAGCAATCTCTACATTAAAGTCAATTTCCCGCCATATTTGTTTGAGGCCCATCTCTTTGCACCTGTACTAGAGGAACAGTGTAGTGCTAGGGTTGGGAACGGGGCTGTTGTGTTTAATCTGGTAAAAGAGAGTCCCGCAATATGGGGGAGGTTGGTATGCGAGGAAGAGAGTCGAGATAAAATGACTTTAATAAGACAAGAAGCAATAGAACATGGCCACCTTAAATACAAGGAAGAAGCCAAAGAGAAGGCAAGGAAGAAGAGAGAGGAAGAGAAATTTGCCATTAAGCAGCAAATGAAGCTAGAGGAAGAAGAGAAAGACAGAATAGAGAAGGAAAAGCAGGTATTAATTAAATTTGATGTCTTTCCGTGCACATACATGTATTTGTTAGGATGAAAGGGATAAAGCAACTTCAGAGCTTGAGAGTTGGAAGAAAGCTCCACCTTCTGCTCCACCTACTCGTTCAGTTCGAAAAGACGTGTGGACAGGAAAGGAGGAACAGCCCCTCCCTCCTCCTAGAGCTGGTGGAAATATCACAATCACCTTCACACCACGTCCATTCACAAACGCAGCAAGAGAATCCAAGGTAGCTGAAGAAGAAGAATGGCTAGCTAAGATGGCTGCAGCACGTAAGATAAAGCAGCCAGACAATAAGAAAGATAATAAAAGGAAGGGAGAAGAGGAGGAGGAGGGTGAGAGTATCAACGAGAGGAACCCAGAGTTTCTAAAAGACCGTGGTAATGAATTTTTCAAAACTGGCAACTTCGAGGCTGCTATAAACGTTTTCACTCAAGCTCTCAAACTTAACCACCTTCTTCCATCACTTTATGCTAATAGAGCAGCTTGTTATCTCTCAACTGGCAATACAGAAGCTTGCATAAGCGATTGCTGTAAAGCCCTTGAGCTCTATTACCCCGTAGTACCTGCTAATGTCTCGTCAAGAGCTAAGGTTCTAGCCAGAAGAGGGACTGCTTATGCTAAGGAAGGAGATTTGGATCTTGCTTTGCAGGATTACGACACAGCTGCAAAGTTGGAGCCAAAAAACTCATCACTCCAAGAAGACTATCAGAACTTGAAAAAGCACATTATGTCACTTAAGATATGATTTTATTATATTTTTATTCTATTTATTAAATTTTGATTATCAATCATAATTTGAAAAGATAAACACACAAAATTTAGGACAGTTAATTGAAGGACAAAACACATTAGCTGTCCTTAACAACATGCACTTCATCTGTCCCGTGATAAGCATACTCCAACGTCCCCATTACCGTCTTCATGTCCCTCTCTATCGTTTTCGCCCACTGCTCCAAGTCACCCAAACTTTTAAGATTCTTGTGAAATCCTTCAACTAAATTAAGCCACTGTGTCGTCTGCTTGACGTATTTTGCCGAGTGGAGCTGTAGAGCTTTTGATTCTTTGTCTAGTTTGCGTTGATTCTCGTAGGCCCTCTCCACTCCTTCATTAAGACAGTCTACCATTGAGTTAGTACATGCTTGAACTGCAGCAATGGCGAGTCGTTTCTTTTTCTCTTGTTCCTCCCGGAGAGAGGACTGCTTCTCCTGGTGCTCTTTTACAATACGAGACAACATGGGTGAGAAAACTTTAGAAGAAACTTTCAACAAAATGAAGGAAAAAATAAAATGGGGCGGGGCTAAATTTTAGAAGGCGTGGTGTGGGTGTGGTCAATTCTTAAAAATTTTAGTAAGTTTTCAAAATTTTGATGGTTAGTTCTGGACACTGAATTTATTTTTGTCAGAGCCAATATGGCGCTCATTTGCTCAAGTGAGTAAATTTCTCTCCTTTTTCTTCTTTTCTCTCTATCTCTCCCATTTCAAAGGAAAGATGTATTATTTTACTTTGTTTTATTATTTGCTAAGTTTGCCAAGAAGTACCAGAAGAGCCTGTTCTCTCAGTTGTCTCCAACCACGTGTTTGAGAGGCGCCTTATCCTAAAGTATCTGCAGGAGAACGGGACTGACCCTATTAATGGAGAGCCTTTGGAAGAGAGCCAATTACTGGAGATTAAATGTAAATATATAAATACCTATTAGGAATAGAGGATATGCGTGCTAAGTATATTCATAACTTTTAAGTACCGTATAGAGCTGTTGCACGGAAGTAATCAACGGGAGGGTGTGGCTAAAATTGAGCTAAATTGTCCGCCATGTTGGGTGGCAAGAAGGCCAAGAATGAATGGGGGAATGGAGAAAAAAATTTAAATAAATTCTGCAGTTGACACTCCAGGCTAATGCAAGGTAGGAGATGAAGATATTGAGTAAAGAAGTCTCTATAATATTCTGCAGCGAAGTATGATATCTCTTTGATGAAAAATCGCAGTTTGTTTCCATTCCTCCATTCGTTGAGTGTACATTCTTGCCACTCAAGATGGCCGACAGGAAGCTCCGCCTACCCCGTTGATTACATCCGTGCAACAGCTCTATATCCAACCCACACAATAAATTGGCCGCCATGTTGGACGTCAAGTTTATTAAGAGTTCAATGGGGGAAAACACATTTTCTTGCCTTGCTACCTTCTTGAGGCCTTTTTCGGAAGCTTAGAAAGCATCCTGAGGATCTAATGGGGTCTAGTAGTCACCTGAAAGATTGCTATCAAGAAATACAGAGCGGTTTCCTGGTACCAAGCCTTTTTCTATTTTTTCTCCATTGCTGCCAATGGAAAGTTGACGTCCAACGAACTAATTTTTTTTCTTGAAAGTTATTACGGTATGCAATGAATACATTTATTTTGCTATGAATATACTTAGCACACATATCCTCTATTAAAAATTATGTAGAAAATTAATAATTATTAGTGGGACGGGCCAGGGGTGTGGCTATATAATCAATTTACTTATTATTATTGTTGTTGTTGTTATTATTATTATTAGCTTCGCCATTGGTAAAGCCTAGACCTCCCTCTGCTACCAGCATCCCAGCAATTTTGAAACTGTTACAAGATGAATGGGTAAGAGAGAGAGAGAGAAAAGGAGAAGATTACCGAGAAACTTTTTCTTCTTTTGTAGGATTCTTGCATGCTGCATACTTTTACACTTCGTCAGCAACTACAGACAGCAAGACAAGGTGAGGATTATATTAATAATTACATTACTTACTCCTTTATTTTATTTTGCTTGTCTTTTGTTTTATTGTCCTCCTTTCTCTCTCTCTCCTCCATTTCAGAACTCTCCCATGCTTTGTACCAGCACGATGCTGCCTGTCGCGTGATTGCTCGACTCACAAAAGAAGTGAATGGGGCCAGAGAAGGTAAGTACAGCATCATGTGTCTCTTTTTACTTGTGTATGTATTGCTACAGCTCTTGCTACTCTTAAACCTCAGGCAGCTGCTTATATGCCTCCAGGCGCTACTGAAGTAAGTCTTTGCATTAAATGTAGAAAGTTTGTTGGGAAAGGAATTGATGAAGAAGATTAAATGTTTTTTACTTATGCCTATCTGAATCAAGTATTATTAATAGTCTTTTATTTATTTATCTTTTCTTTCTCTTAAGGCTCCGACTGGTGCTGAAGCAATGGACAATACTGAAGTATATTCCGTCAAACACTTAACTATTATAATGTTCCTTTAATTTTCCTTTCTAGGCTGGTCCAACTGAAATGACAGAAGAAATATTACAACAAGTAGGCACAATCTCTCGTAACTCTTCCCTCCTTTATTTTGTTGGTTGACTAGCTACTAGAGACAGCTGCCATGCTCACGGCTGACCGTAAGAAGAGAGGCAAGAAGAAACCTGAAGGATTATGTACGGTAGAGGAGATGAAGACATTTGAACAGAAATCATCTCATCCAGTTAGTTAAACCCGTTCCTTATTCTTATGCTCTTCCTGTTGCAGGGTCTTCACAGCTCAAGCGTTCCGGGAATATTGGCACTCGACGTGTCTGCCGACTCAAAACGAGTTCTCACAGGTTAACCACACCCACTTTACACTTAATAAATCAATTTTTAGGTGGAGCGGATAAGACTGCCATCGTGTTTATAAAAGACACTGAACAGATTTATGCTACCATGAAAGGTCATACCAAGAAGATTTCAAGCGTCATCTATCACCCGAAAGTGGTGGGTGTGGTCCTAATTAAAAATTAAATTATTAATTCCCAGGAATTGGCTATCACCGGTTCTGCTGATTCGACCGTGAGGGTGTGGTCGATTGATACAAGCGTTTGTGCTCAGACTATTAAAGTGGGTGTGGTTTTAACTTAATCATTCACTATGAATATTAATTAGGCTCATGACGGAGGTGTGACTAGTGTTAGTCTCCATCCAACTGGGAGCTATCTGCTAACATCGTCTACAGATGATGTGAGAATTCATTTATTTATTAAAGCTGATATTATCAGTATTACTTTAGTATTGGGCGTTTTCTGACATTACGAGTGGTCATGTATTGACGAAAGCTAACAGTCCCTCTGGACCAACTGGTAATAAATGTTCTACATGTGCATTTTGTATTTAATTATATATTTTTGTATTTAATTAATTGTTATGAAAAACTTTTATCTCTTCTTTCTCTTTCGCTCTCTTTGTTAGCTTTGACTTGTGCCCAGTTCCATCCTGATGGCCTTATTTTTGGTACTGGAACGGCTAGCAGGTTCAGTTATTATTATTATTTTAAAAGTTGTATTATGTTTTTTAAATTCTCTTTTAAATTCCTTTTAGCGAGGTGAGGATTTGGGATCTCAAAGAACGTACGAATGTTGCTAATTTCCAAGGACACTCCGGAGCCATTACCAGTATTGCATTCTCTGAGAATGGGTCAGTAATGAGGTCACTAATGGGAGGGGCTTACTCTTTCTTCCTCTCCCAGTTATTATCTTGCTACTGGGGCAGAGGATTCACAAGTTCAGCTCTGGGATTTGAGAAACTTGAAAAACTTTGAGACGATCAATCTTGGAAAAGGATATGAGGTATATTATGATGTGTTTCACTTTTCATTTCTCTCCCCCTCTCTCTCCCTCTTCCATTGTTCCAAAGGTTAAGAATGTTTCATTTGATGTCAGTGGTACTTACCTTGCCATAGCAGGAACTGATATACAGTGAGTCTTCCATACAATAATTTTAATCATACCGTTAATTAATAGGGTCTACCTCTGCAAGCAATGGGATCAGTTAGCCACACTCAAAGGTAAAAAATTAGTGGGTAGTCATGAAAATTCTAATGCATATCACTCAAATAATGTCATAATAACGTCCTACTCTTCTCATTAGATCATACTTCTGTTGTAAATGGTATCAAGTTTGGACACAATGCCTCGTTCCTCGCCAGCTGCAGTATGGATAGAACCCTGAGGTTCTTTGCTCCGCAATAATACCAAAAACTCACCCACTCTCTCATAGCATCTCTTGACATTCATCATAATGCATGTATGTCACGTTTTGTGACCATGTACATGTTTTATGATAGTTTGTTATTGTGAATGATTTCCTTTTTAAGAGATGGTAATGGTTTGTGTTTTCCACCAATTTCCTTTAAAGTCACCTCAAATACCCTGTGCTACAGTACAGGGTATTTTGTCAGTAATGGTTGTTAGTAGATTCTTCAGTTTTATAATTTTGTTCTGTTTATACATATACTTATCTTGTGTTTCAAGTTTGAGCTGATTCTGATCAAAATTGGATTTTTATGAATTTTTAAGTTGCTCCAAAATTGGGCCAAAGCCCCTGTACTATAGTCAAATAAAGGATATACTGTCTGTCGTTTATCTCACTGTGGTTATTAGTTATGACTTCATCTTATTATTTATTTCCTATAATGCGTAATATAAATATTACCTATCTCTCCACTTCACTCTTGTTGCTTCTTGCTTTGAACTTTGTCCTACATGCTGTTATTGAAACTTATCTGTATTTGTGTTGTTCTCATTTCCTTATTTACTAATATCCACATATCATTGTATGTTACTAATGTTATTGTACTTACCCTCTCTATTTCCTGTCCTTATTTGTTACAATATTATTATCAACTGGTAACAAATTCACATACCTCTGTTTATCATAATATGTAATACAGAGTTTAACACAATTCAATGTACATGCTACAGTCAATCCTGTCTACTCCGGACACCTTGGGACCCAATAATACCCTAGCTCCTGATTATGAACCTGTCCTTATTTCAGAGGTTCATTAATACACATTACTATTGTATTGGGACTGATACTACCTGTCCTCATTATAGAGGTGTCCTTATTTTAGAGCGTCCACAATAGGAGGTTATACTGCACTATAGCAACAGTGTAACACCTCCCCTTTAACACTCTTCCACTTCTTATAATTAACAAGAAAATAAATAATCATTTTTATTATAATATAATTAGCATTATACACTATTTTGAAGCATGCACAATTATTATAATATAATACACAATTATTATTGTTATTATTTCTATACACATTAGTACATAGAGTGAGAGTCTTAAATGGAAACAAAATGACATTGTTAATGACAGGCAGTGTATTTTTTAAAGATGACTTCCCTCCTCCTTTAGTCGTTGGCCGATACATAAGCATAATCAGCTCTGTGATGCATGACGAGTTTACCATTGACAAAGTAGAAGCTGTCAGATTTCGTTTCATAAGGATGAGAGATTAGTTCTTCCTCTGAGAGAAAAAGACAGAAAGTAATGATGTATTAATGTCACAAGTACATTATGAAATCTTGTTAATCTGTATAGCTATTAAAATCTATTCGTAATATCAATGGCAGTACATTAACAATGTGCCAGCTGCAAGTATTGGGACTAATCCCTCCTTTTAAAATGATATATATATATGGGCTTACTTTCTGACTGGAGTAGGACTGGCATTTCATAAATGTGCTCACAAGTGTTGCGGCTGGTGGGCATACAGAAGCCGAAATTGAAGTCAAAACTCTTCAAGCATTTGTCCCTAAAGAAGTGTCTTTCAATCATCCTGAAATCTTTTACCTCTCGATCACCAACCGTGAACTCTATACTGTATTATAAGAGATGGGAAGAAAGAATTTAAAAGGGAAAGACATCGAATAAATTTAGAGAGTGAGAGGGAGGGATATAAAAGATGGGGGAGAAAAAATACATGTAATTGTCGGTGTGGGATGGTGTAAGAAGTAAATAAATAAATAAATAAAAGGTGTTTATCATATTTTCTTTTACACAAGTTTTGTATGCAAATCAATCTCACATCAACAAATATGTCACCGAACATTCAACACTTGATCTACCCTTTACAAAAAATTAAAAGTGAGAACAAGTTGAAATTTGTGAGAATAGAGGGAGAAGAGAGACCAAGAGAGTGACTTTATACTATGTCTGTGGACATATTAGTGCATAAAGCAGCTGTTGAAATGAATCTCTATTATATACATGTAGGTAGTAGTAGGCCAAACCGTTGTTATTATTATACTGACAATATTTTTATCAGATTTGGAGATAAAGGTTGATTACGATCACTCGACACATTCAAAAGTGTCATTCCAGGTTTGCCGAAGTTGAGTTAACATGTGGCAAGGTATAATTATTATTTTTATCACAATTCGAAGTGTAAACAGCAGCGAGAGTCCGAAAGCTAGCTGATAACAGCCAAGAACCTCAAGTATGGAATGAAATGCCTTGAATAAGCAATAATGCAAGCTGTTTCTTTATAAATGGAGACACTGTATAATACTGTAAATGGTTTTATAGATTTGATTGACGAGAGGGAAAGGAAAGAGGTTATAGAAATACATACACATACATGTATATGCAAGTATTTTTAATCATTATATATAATTATTATTTTCTCACGTTGCGCCAAGCGTCTTGAGATCAAGGAAAGGAATTGGGAAGTGATATCGGACAAATCTTGATTCGTCATCTTTCTCAGACTTGTCATCAGGACTGGACTGAGGCTTGGAAACTTCAAACAAAACTTGATTTGAGTCAAGATCCCGTAGCTTAAATCTAGTGAATTCTATGTCATAAATATTCGCCTGCAGTGGACAAAGGTAGCCTAAGGGTTTTGAACATTATTAATTATCACGAAAAACTTTGACAAGGCTTTACTCTCTGTGGCTCTGTCCAATTTTAGCACGTCCTCCGGGCTAATATGTGGTTTTTTGCTTAATAGATCCGCTTCTGTTACTCTGGGTACTACTCCTCCCTTGCCGTCTTCTTTGTTCTTCGTAGCAGCAGCAGCAGTGGACTTCAAGGAGGCTGCTTTGCGACTCATTCTCGTCTCCTTCTCTCTCCTCAGCAGTGTCTACCTACCAAAGAAATTTTTAGCTCTCAAAAATAAACAGTGTGCAAATTTTTATTAAAATTCATACGCGGAAGCCTTAAAATTAAAGCGGTCAAATTCAAAATTATGTTACGGGTGACCTGATATAATTTTGTAAGCCCGTTTATCAAGATGGCCGCCAGTAAGAGTTGTCGCACTTCCCCAAGCCCGCAGTGATAATCCTTCAAGAAGAGGGTCCACTGACTAATCTAAAGGCTTTACTTATATAAAGAAGTTTTTTCAGAGTATAAAGGCTCTACTACCTGACTCTGGCGTTTCTTTGAGACCCTATCAATCCTGACTGCAGGACAGCTCGGTTTGGTGTTGCTTTCTTCCCTACTCACAAAGAACCATTTATTCCTCTCTCCTCGACTACCCTACAATCTTAAAGAGTCCTAAAGGAATCCAGTAACTGTAGAGAGTGCTTTAAAAGGCATCAAACAAAGCGGCCTCTTGTCTCCTATCGAGAGAGGTATGTGAACTCGCCTATAGCTAATGTACTTATACACGTCTCACTCTCTCCTCCCTCTCTCTCTTGGCTTTTCTCTTCCACTCTTCTACCATTACTCCAATTATAACACAAAGTCTAAGCTAAACACATATTTTGTACAATATTTATCCGTATATATAAACAGGGCAAATTGTGATCTAATTTTGTGGATTTGTAATCAAGAGGAAAAGGGACAACTAATATTGTGTATTAGTAATTGTGACAGTCGGTCCCTCTTCTGGTCAGTAGGATCCTGGCTTGATACATAGAATCATGGCTGACCAAGATGGCAGTATTATGCAAGTGAGTGTTGAGGAAGATGGCTAAGAGAGAAGAGTGGGGTGGGGAGAAAGGAAATATAGTATTCACTTTAAGGAAGCATTTCTTCTCATTGTAGTTTGACAAATATCTTACTGTATGTTCTTCCCCCCCCTCTCTCTCTCTCTCTCCCCCTCTCTCTCTCTCTCTCCCTCTCTCTTCCTCTCTCTTTCCCTCTCTCTCTCCCCATCTCTCTCCCCCTCTCTCTCCCCCTCTCTCTCTCCCCCCTCTCTCTCTCCCCCCTCTCTCTCTCCCTCCTCTCTCTCTCTCCCTCTCTCTCTCCTCCTCTCTCTCCCTGTAGAAAATCCAAGCCATTACTGCCCCACCACATCCTAGTCCAACCTCTAAGCAAAGACGTGGGAAGTCAAAGCCAGTGAACAACACTCAATCAACGAACCCACGTCAATCCGGTATTGACAATCACCCCTACTGTGACGCGTGTGGGGATGGTGGGGACCTCCTTTGTTGCGAAAGGTGTCCCGCCTCTTTCCACTTCATTTGCTGGTAAGATTAATAATAATAATGATAATAATAATAATAATAATGGGAAGCATGTATAATGATATTCACGGCCCTCAATAATCATGAATATCATTATGTACTATTGAGATTGTAGTAACATGGCGTAGTACTATTGATTGTGACAAAATGGCTGCCAGCATACATGTACATGTATACACTAAAACATATACATGTACATGTACATGTATATATGCCTGTGTTTATTATTTGGTATTATAGGAAATGACTGTCTGTATTGTATCATAAACAATTTCTGTTGACAATTCCCTACTGATGCAAACACCTGCCAATGTAGTTTATCCTTTTGTCTTTACCTTTGAAGTCATTAATTAAATGCGTGGGTGGGACAGTTAATTAAATGCGTGGGTGGAATTGTGGGCACCTGCGTGGGGCATAGTTAACACAACAATATTTTTTAATGAAGATTATTTTTTTCGTAAATTCATTTTTTTCTCGTAGTGACCCTCCACTTGATCCCCTCAATCTCCCAGAGGGTGAGTGGGTGTGTAACAGCTGTCGCCCACTCCCTTCGAATATTGAGTGTCACCACAATGAGCTCTTTAGGCCGCTACTGACGCAGGCCTGCTGTGAGAACCCTCTTATATTTTATCTTCCTCCCGATATGATGAGAATGACTAAATTCCACGGTACGTCATATGTGCATATACATGTACATGTACATGTACATGTATGTGTAGTATTTATTTGTCTCAAGTTATTTTATATCAGTCTTTATATTTACTTTTAAGGATTTTTATACTTTAGTAGAATAGATACTTATATGTAACACACTGTACATGTTGATTCTAGATTTTGTGCTATTAAGATGACACCGTTTACCATATAGAATGTTTTATGTCGTGTTCTTGTTATGTTTGTGTGTTTCTAAATGACTTTCTCTTTGCTTTAGATGTAAAGCAAGAGAGAAGACAACTACAAAATGATAGTACAATGATACTTCACTGCTACTTGTGTAACAAGTATGTATACATGTATACTTTTGTTTAGAAATTTTTGCCTCTCTCTCCCTCCCTCTCTCTCTCTCTCTCTCTCTCTCTCTCTCTCTGTCTCTCTCCCTCTCTCTCTCTCTCTCTCTCTCTCCCTCTCTCTCTCCCCCTCTCTCCCCCTCTCTCCCCCCTCTCTCTCCCCCTCTCTCTCTCCCTCTCTCTCAGGAGTTCTAGACATGGTCCTATGCTTAGCTGTGATTTCTGTCCCCTCAGTTATCACATGGATTGTTTGACCCCACCTATAACTGACACGCCCCTCCCAGCCTCTTGGATGTGCCCGAATCATGTTGAGCATTCAGTAGTAAGTGAATGTACTGATGTCATTTCACTGGAGTGTGTGTTGAAAATAAAATTGTTAAAAATTCTTTATTTTTAACGTTATTCATTGATTGACATCATCAGCTACACAAAATTAATTATCATTGATATTATGAGTATAAAATAACACTATTATTATTATTCATTATTATTATTATTATTATTATTATTATCCACAGGCTGGTCTACATGATGTTAGGCTGAGTGTGAGGAAAAAGGCGCTCGAGAGATGTAGAGCTGAGATTTCTAGACAGTCCATAAAAATTGATTTTCTTAACAAAATCAAAAAGTATTAGCTCCAAATGTCCTTTTAATTTAATCATTTCTTTACTCTCTCTTGTTCACCCTCCCTCCCCCTCTCTCTCTCATTTTAGAATCCCTCACCACAAACGAAATACAGATAGAACTAACAGACGAACGACTGAAGTAAGTAGTGAAGGAAAGAAGAGATGGAGATTACATACAATGTTACGTACATGTACATCAAAATTGTACATGTGTATTTTATAATTTTTACACATGCTGTATAATGTAATAGTAATTATAGGGGGGCTTAGATTTGCAACTTGTTACCATTTGCCGAAATAAAATGTGCAGCCCTGCTCTTACATACTTGTACATTAAAATTATTATTATGTTAGGTTCCAGCTGCTATCAAAGACCTATATGCCCGCCCGTTAGTTGACACTGCTTCTGTACCACCTCTCTCTCACCTTCTGCTGACTGCCACTGAACAGCTGGAGCTGCTAAGGAGAGAGGGAGAGAGGGAAAGAGAGAGTGTCCACTTTCCTCCTGTTCAACCTCTGACTATGGAACAAAATGAGGTACAGTACATGTACATAATAGTCATATTATTATTTAAATCCTGATTGTACTATAGTGTTATTACTATTATTATTATTATTATTATTATTATTATTATTATTATTATTATTATTATTATTATTATTATTATTATTATTATTATTATTTATTGAAAATGAATTCTTTGATAAGTGCATGATGTATATTTTATTATAATGATAACATTATTTTTATTTAATTTCTAGTGGACCACTCGTAGGGTAATGGAGACCCAACCCCTCCCACTTCACTCAAGCACGACTACCGACTTACAAGAAATACTTGGAACTAAACCTTCCCCTCCTCCTCCTCCTCCTATTTGTAACGGGACAGCCCCGGGGGACTTACCTAGCAACAATAGACTGCCCACGCATCCGTCACAAATCAGTAAGTAATTATAATAATAATAATTATTATTATTACTATTATTATTATGATGATAATAATAATGATGATAGTTGTTAGATCTATGTATATATAGAAACTATGATGTTCATGTAATGAATACCTAGGCTAAATATAAGAGACCAAAAGCTAAAAATGGGAGATTTAAAGAGACCACATGTACAGTAGATCAAATATGGGAGACCAAACTCTCTCTAGATCTAACAGTGATGCTGCTAACTAATAATGTCATTTTATAGTTCCTAATCTTGACGCTATGGATGAGAAATTCGTAAGACTGTTAGCAACACAAAGACTTCAGCAAATATTAGGATCTGCCTCTAATACTCCCGGGGACACTTTAGCTCCTCCCACTGTCAATAAAACACTCAATGGGTTGAGACTGCAGGACACACCCCTCGCCCCGCCCACCATATCACTCCAAAACAAGAAGAGTGCAAAGAAAGGAGTTAAGAGAAAGAGAGATTTCGGTAAGTTATTGAAAAAGAGGTTTTATTGTAAGAGAGAAGTAAATCTATTTATAAAAGAAGGGCGTGGTTATAACTTTGTCATGACAACAAGAGGTGTCACCCGACAAGTTGTGTGCTAATGAACTTCATTTCTAAATTGATAAAGTCACTAATTAGTATACAATATACATGTACAGTGTAGCCTCTTTATTAAGGACACCATTGGGCCCACACTACCTGTCCTTAATACATGTACAGTGTAGCCTCTTTATTAAGGACACCATTGGGCCCACACTACCTGTCCTTAATACATGTACAGTGTAGCCTCTTTATTAAGGACACCATTGGGCCCACACCACCTGTCCTTAATACATGTACAGTGTAGCCTCTTTATTAAGGACACCATTGGGCCCACACTACCTGTCCTTAATACATGTACAGTGTAGCCTCTTTATTAAGGATACCATTGGGCCCACACCACCTGTCCTTAATACATGTACAGTGTAGCCTCTTTATTAAGGACACCATTGGGCCCACACTACCTGTCCTTAATACAGAGGTGTCCTCATTTCAGAGGTACTTTTGTATAGGCTTGTACCAATTGGGACATTACAAATGTTCTTGTTGTATTCATTTTAAAATATGAAGATATCCTCATTATAAAGCCTATACACTGTACATAAGTTATAATTGGTGTACTTTATATATGTACATGTTAAGCTGATGTGTCTGTATGCTTCACTTATAGTAAGAGGTTTGTGTGGCTGTCCCTTTGTTATTGTATGCCTTTTACTGCCTTCCTAGTTGATTTTTATTAAATTAATTAGGTTCTGTTGGTACACATCTCATTTAAAATAAACTAGCCATAAATACGACCTTATTTGGTCATCACAGAGACAGAGAAAGAAAGAGAGAGAGATTGACATAAAGTAGGACAAACTAGCTTATATACATTTACAGTGTGTCTTTGTTTTTATTTTTTGAATACGTTTATTTATTTATTTATTATATTTTTCTGTTATATTATTCATCACAGAATCAGTCTGCATTCTGTGCCCTTTGGCAACAGCTGGTCCAGCCATTCCACTCTTAACCACATCAGTATCAATAGGATCTGGTAAGACCTGCTCTATATGTATTACTTCATCTTCTCTGTTTTGTTTTTTGTTTCCTGTTCCTGATCTCTCTCTCTCTCTCTCTCTCTCTCTCTCTCTCTCTCTCTCTCTCTCTCTCTCTCT